CTGCTGAGGTGGTATGGAAGCCCATGTTTCTTTGACAGTGGCCTTCAGCTCATCTGCATTTTTTGGTCTCTTGTTTCTCATTTTCCTCTTGACAATACCCCATAGATTCTCTATGGGGTTCAGGTCTGGTGAGTTTGCTGGCCAGTCAAGCACACCAACACCATGGTCATTTAACCAACTCTTGGTGCTTTTGGCAGTGTGGGCAGGTGCCAAATCCTGCTGGAAAATGAAATCAGCATCTTCAAAAAGCTGGTCAGCAGAAGGAAGCATGAAGTGCTCCAAAATTTCTTGGTAAACGGGTGCAGTGACGTTGGTTTTCAAAAAACACAATGGACCAACACCAGCAGATGACATTGCACCCCAAATCATCACAGACTGTGGAAACTTAACACTGGACTTCAAGCAACTTGGGCAATGCGCTTCTCCACCCTTCCTCCAGACTCTAGGATCTTGGTTTCCAAATGAAATACAAAACTTGCTCTCATCTGAAAAGAGGACTTTGGACGTCTGTGTGTGGTGGCTCTTGATGCCTTGACCCCAGCCTCAGTCCATTCCTTGTGAAGTTCACTCAAATTCTTGAATCGATTTTGCTTGACAATCCTCATAAGGCTGCGGTTCTCTCGGTTGGTTGTGCATCTTTTTCTTCCACACTTTTTCCTTCCACTCAACTTTCTGTTAACATGCTTGGATACAGCACTCTGTGAACAGCCAGCTTCTTTGGCAATGAATGTTTGTGGCTTACCCTCCTTGTGAAGGGTGTCAATGATTGTCTTCTGAACAACTGTCAGATCAGCAGTCTTCCCCATGATTGTGTAGCCTAGTGAACCAAACTGAGAGACCATTTTGAAGGCTCAGGAAACCTTTGCAGGTGTTTTGAGTTGATTAGCTGATTGGCATGTCACCATATTCTAATTTGTTGAGATAGTGAATTGGTGGGTTTTTGTTAAATGTGAGCCAAAATCATCACAATTAAAAGAACCAAAGACTTAAACTACTTCAGTCTGTGTGCATTGAATTGATTTAATACACGAGTTTCACAATTTGAGTTGAATTACTGAAATAAATTAACTTTTCCACGACATTCTAATTTATTGAGATGCACCTGTATATATTTTTCCCCCTATGTCATGTGCGGGGCTCCGTCTTGGCACATCTTACCCCACTCGCATCTAACTTGATTTTGTGACCTGGACATGTTTTCGTGAGATTCATCTATAATCGAGTCTGATCATAGGTTTTTGTGCGCAGGTTCATCAAGAGTGTTCAGCGCAGAAACCTTCCAATGTTTGTGTCAATTAGAAGGCCATAATGGAGAGATATCAAAGGTAAGAAATCCCATTTTCTCTCCATCCTCGGCCTGTCCCTCCAGCTTCAGACTCAATAATCCTCTCGTATCTCTTCACTCAGTCTCTTTCTTGGTCTGCTAAGGTGCTCATTTCCTGTCTAGGTCCCTTCCTGTTTATATCCACCTGTTCTGCCATCTTGCCTCCATCCCAGCATCCCAGTCGTTCGTCTGCATGCTTGTCAACATTTTTTTTTTTTTTTGATTGTACAAACTTTAATATTGTCAATTATTCAATCTTACTATATTAAATCGCAATTATTTTCTTGTGTATTTATCCTGGAATATCTCTTTTTCAAGTTAAAAGAATAGTTTACCCAAATAAGAATATTTGCTAAAAATGTACTCACCCTCAGGCCATCCAAGATGTGCAGTAGAAAGGTTTGTTTCTTCACAAGAACAGATTTAGAGAAATGTTGCATTCCATCACTTGCTCACCAATGGATGCTCTGCAGTGAATGGGTGCCGTCAGAATGAGAGTCCGAACAGCTGATAAAAACGTCACAATAACCCACAAGTCTCCGGTACATGACTTAAGTGAAGAGCTGTGAGTTTGTAAGAAACAAATCTTGGACAGCCTGAGGGCGAGTAAATGTTTAGCAAATTTTCATTTTTGGGTGCACTATTCCTTTAACAGCTGCCTGAGTGTATATATAATCTCATTTTTATTCAAACACGTGTCTCTTTTCAAATAGAGGCTGTTGACATTAAACTCACCGTACGCAAATTTTATTTTGAAAAGATAAATACATTCAGGTATACCATGACAGACTTGATACAGTTGTGTGCCTTCAACGCTGATATTAAAACACATTACTATTATGTAACTATGCAGAGAAAACCATAACGCCACCAGATTTCACATTTACACGTCAACTTTTACGTGACAAAACTGTACTTTAAATATACTCTATGTTCATACTTTTATATTGAAACTTTTACAGTAGTCTGGTGAGACTTTCAGTGCTGTGATCCTGTCTGTCTGCGTGTCATAAAACACAAAAACTGAAATTTCCATTTGCAGCCCACAGGTACAGTAGCTCACAGTCTAGACTATTTACATCTAGCCAAAATAAACTCTCTTAAATAACAGTAGTCACACAAAACTAAACGTAGAATTCAGCCTCGAGAGGTACAATAAAATGACCGAACGTGTTCGCCAATGTTAAACTTAAAACAACAAAGTGTGTTTGGAATGGAATCTCACTATATTTCACTTTGAATACAAACATTTAAATATCTTTAAATCCCTACACCAGAGCTCACACGGCCGTTATTCTTGATAAAAACTCACGTTGTGCATTTGAAACGGGTTTGTTGTACAGTAAAAATCTGCAAGCTACAAAAACGTCAAGGCTGATTGGTCGGTTTAACCCATGTTCCTCTAACCAGCGCTGGCTGGTGACTGGTGGATCTAACGTTGCGTGCGCGTAAAGACAGGAACATGCGTAATTTAAAGGGAAATATCCTTAAATCACTATGCGAATGTGCATCTCTAGCACATATTTATGGACAAGGCATTTCTTCCTATATCCCATAATTCCTGTGATCTAGCAAAGACATACAAGTGTGAATAAAGGTTTATGCAAGTTGTGAATTTTAAGGATATCAAATGTAGATGTGCTGGTGGTCAGAGGGTAAGTTCAGAACTAAGGAAACCCCATGCTAAGGATCTTAGGATTTGGAGCCGTTAATGCATGCAGGTGTCTTGTAAACCTTGCTGTCCTGTGATAAACAGAGTTTCACGGGGAGCTCTAGATAAATGTGCTGATGTGCAGTCATGCCGGTGGCTGTGGATGAGTCTGTGGGATCTATGAGTCTATAAACAGTTTGGTTGTGTGAGGGTCTATTAGCGGCTCAAATGGGATTGGTGTTTGGTGTTTTCACACTGGCTTCAGACTATATACGTGTGCTAGCACAGGACGGATATGTGGCGTCTCCAACTCCTGGTCCATAGATGGGTGGCGCTCTAGCGCTTGGTCTTCAGTATCCAGTCGAACAGGCTGGGCACAGGCCGTCCTCTGTGCTCCAGGTCCTGGTGGAGCTGACAGAACTGAGCCACAGCGCTGAACAAGTCACCAACATGCCAAGCCTTCTGACCTGCCAACTGCACCACTCTGTGGAACTGAGAAACAAACACACGCTGTTCAGTTCTTCATGAGCCATGATCATCTTCATCAACAGTCACTGCAGTTATACCAGTGTTGTTTTAGTTTTATTGATATACTATTATAGTTTTATTGATAATTTGAATTAGATATAATTTTTCACTTCATTTTAAAGTTCAAGTATTGTTTTTTTGTCATTTTAATTTTTTAATTGTGTAAATTTTTCAATGGTGTAAGAAAATATGAATAAATGGCTTTTTATTTCAGTTTTAAGTAATGAAAATGCTTTTTTGAGGTTTTAGTTAATGATAATCATGTTATATCATTATGCTTTTTTTTTGTGATGAACTTTTTATTCAATTTTAAAATGTACACATTAATTTTGTTATGCAGCATACATGTAGCAGTAACATACATGCATATTTATGCATACAAACCAACACCAACTATAAATAATTGCCAAAGCCATGCAGAATAAATGAAGGAAAAATATATATACACTATATGATCAAAACTATTGGGACACCTGAACAGGTATTTTAAGGGGGGCATTGGTTGCAAAATTCACTTTTACATGGCGTTTGTGTATAAATGTGTCTTAGCAGTGTGTGGACACAACCACCCTACAATGATAAAAATCCATTCACTCTTTTTTTATCCCCAAAAAACCTAAACAGTCTCAATTATAAAGCCATTTTGATTTTCTGAGCAGTATGACGTCATACTGCTCAGGCCCCGCCCACGGCAGATGACGGACTGTCCCGTATTAGCATATTTCCGCTGCACTCGAGCAACTGTAGCGACAACAACGTCTCGTAAGCAATGCAGGTGTTTTGTAGTTTTTGTAGGATGTAAAAGGGAACATAGTCTTAATTTTCTCCCGACATCAGAGCCATGGAGGACGCAGAGGATTAGTTTTGTTTTTGATGGTAACGCGCCACCGAAGAGAGAAGAGAGGGGCGGGGTGAGCAGTAGTTCATTATCATTTAAAGAGACATGCACAGAAACGGGTTGCTGTGAACAGAGCAGTTTTTGACAAGGTAAAAAGGTGGTGTTTTACACGATCATTGAGGAAATTGAACCAAAGTATGTTACAGACATTTCATAAAGACCCTAAAGAATCATACCAACTTGTGGAAAATGGGCATCCGATGTCCCCTTTAACGACATTGCATTCCACTCTTCTAGGAAGGCCTTCCACAAGATTTTGGAGTGTTTCATTGGGAATTTTTGCCCATTCATCCAGTAGAGCATCTGTGGGTCAGTTCATCCCAAAGGTGTTTGATGGGTTTGAGGTTAGGGCTCTGTGTGGGCCAGTCAAGTTTGTCCACACCAAACTCATCCAACCACTTCTTTATGGAGCTTGCCTTGTGCACTGGCACATACCCTTCCTCTAACTGTTTCCACAAAGTTGGAAGCATAGCATTGTCCAAAATGTCTTGTTATGCTGAAGCATTAAGATTTCTCTTTACTGGAAGAGGCCCAAAACCTGAAAAACAGCCTCATATATATATATGATCTATGAATGATAAAAAAACAGCATCAACTTTGGCTTCTACCCTTTCAAAATTCATGTCTGACTGAGTTTGACTGAGAATGAGGTATGACTGTAAGTTGTGTTGTTTAACAAAATGTGAAAGTCTCCTCAAGTTAACCACAAACTATTCTAAAAAGCCATTAGAAATTCCAGAGAGGATCCATGCTATTGTTTTTCAGGTTTTAGGACTACAATCTGCACAGCTCTACACCCCTGGAGCTTTGCTGAAGGGCTCAAAACACTGCCTCCATACACAACACTTCATCCAATTTTCTCTAAAAACAGTATATTTTGTGCACTGTTAAAATGTTTTCAAATTGTAAAATGCAACATCGTAGTCACATGACCTTACTGCATTCATGTTGTATGTTTTCTTCAGTAACATGAGAATTATTGCTAGCTGTCACTATAATCAAATTAGGCAAAATATTTAAACATGGAGAGACTGGAGAACTTTATGAATGAGAAGCGCTGAAATCTGTGGGTATAGAATCTGCTTGGACTTGGTTAGTTATTCTAGCAAACGCATGACCTCGATTTGTCCTCACCTTAGCGAGATTGTGCTCCTGAGTCTTTCTGAAGTAGAGCGCCGGCACGCCGAGCTCAGACGCAGCGATCCACTGCAGTGCCTCTCTTAGTTCTCCATCCACACACTCTGAATCCATGTCAAAGTTCAGCACCAGGAGCTCCCGCTGACAGCTGCTGCCGGCTGAGGACAGACCCGACGTGACTTCTGTGAGACAAAACCAGACTGCTCACTTTCAGCCACTTCTGTGCATGTTACTCTGTAGATTGCTGTAGATCTAATATTTCGCTAAAAGAATCAACTTTTCTTTTAGGTCAGAAAAACAGTTGCTGGTGTAGAAATGAGTAGCTCCAACAAACATGCATCTTTTAACCCTCTGGTGCTATCTGGTCATTTTTGATATATTTTTTTTTTTTGATTTTTTTTTTACTTCATCGGCATGGTACGAAACTTGGTAAAACGTTTGTTAAATGTGAGCCAATATCATCACAATTAAAAGAACCAAAGACTTAAACTACTTCAGTCTGTGTGCATTGAATTTATTTAATACACGAGTTTCACAATTTGAGTTGAATTACTGAAATAAATTAACTTTTCCACGACATTCTAATTTATTGAGATGCACCTGTATAAACAATACATTTACACCCCTAGTACTTATGCATTTCAAATTCAAATTATAAAGTCAAAAGGCAAAATTTACGGCAGGTCGAGGACTTTAAGATCCACTGTTCTATATGAATGTGGTTCAGTGTGAATGATAAAGAGCTCACGGGAAATGAAGAGAGTGGGGCTTAAACATTCACAC